CCCCAAAACCCCAAAACCCCAAAACCCCATGATACTTTCAATGTAAAAAAAATCAGTACTTTTTTAGTTTACAAATAAATTAAAAAAGAATCAAAAAATGAGTGTGAACAATTAGCATATGGCTTGGAAAGATAGACTCAAGAAAGAAAAGCACGGTATTGCCAAGTAAGTAATTTAGCTATTAAATGAGGAATAATAGTTCAATGACCAAGGGCATCGTGCTTGACATAGTAAGTTAGGTCTAGGTGAATCCAAGTGAAAAGAGTCGGATATTTCAAACACAAGGTCTATCAAACTCCCAATCAATAATTGGAGGATTTTCGCCTTCTAAAAACATGGAAGATTTGTCCCCGAATGAGAAAAAGGCTAAATACTTGGAATTCTTGATTTAGCAGAGAAGAAATGTATCCACAGATAATTCATTCGATGATGCTATTTCTAATCTTAATGGTATGAAACAATAAGATGATGGTGGGCGTTTCATCAATGATCGATACATAATTAATAACAAAAACACTAGCAACAATCTAAACTTTGCTCCTTATGGAGTAATGACCTAGCACAACTAAAGCAATTACAAAACTCCAAATGAAAGCATCAACCATGGAATACATCCAATAAATATTAACAACATGCTGCCCCCTGTAAAAAGAAGTTATTATCTAGCCCATTCAGTTGATTTATCTCATCCAGTTGAGTATGTCAATATCAAAATAAATGAGAAAGCATAGAAAGATGATATTTACTATGATAACAAGAGAGACCATCAAAAAGTTTAAAACAGAAGTATTAGTCCGAATGATGCCAAAGATATATCCTTGAAGAATTTGAGCACCATTGACATCCAGACCTATGATAAAAGGAATATGGGCTATAGTAAAGAAATGCCACTGCAGACTAGTGTGTATAGTAGGGATCATCATATTCATTCTAATAAAACTGGCTTATACAACAACATTGACTACTATACTAAGACTGCTAATTAATCTCAATTAGGTCATCTACCAATCATTAATAAATCAACGTCTCTAGTTTAAATAGATCAGAAATAGTAAAATCCTGAAAATATCATGTAAAAGATTGAAAGTGATATATTCAACTCTCACAAGGATAGCATAAACGAGGTGATGCATCCCTTGAAGAAAGATTAAAGTTTCAACAAGCTGCTCATGAGTACAAAGCTAGAGAAAGAAATACTGAAGCAGGTAAGCCATCAGAAATTAGGAGTTATCAATGAAAGCTAGAAAAATCTAATTAATAAATACAGGAACAGGAATCTCAATTTAATTGGATCTAAAAGGCATCTAGGTAAAACAAACAAGATTGTGAGTTAGGCCCAATTATGACTGAATTTATATAATAGAGCTAAAGGGGATATAAATAAATTAATATCTTTGGATAAGATTCTTTTGATTTTAATTGGATTAATTTATAATTATTATCATAAATTTTATAATATACAAATTAACAAATAATGGAATCACAGCAATAGCCTTAGATCAATATCCTTTATGATCCCTCATAGAATGATGAGTAACAATTTCTAGAGGATGAATTGATAGAGACTTAAAGTGTCTCGACAGTAGGAGGAGCAGGTGAGAAAATAGTCAATAACTACAAATCAGATCTCGATCCTACATTGTTTGCAGCTCAAAAAATGTAAGTGATTCTGTCGATTATTTCTTAATGACTATAGTCGATGCTGTATGTGTGGAATTATGACAGTTCCAAATGACTCTAATACTTGCATTAACTGCCTTAAAAGTGAGATTGACGTGACTGAAGGTATATCTAAACAGCTCATACTGCAAAATTGCAAGGAGTGTAACAGATACCTGAGACCACCTTGGCAATAGTGTGAGTTAGAGTCTCCAGAACTTCTTTCTTTATGTCTCAAGAATGTCAAAGGTCTCAAGAGAGTTAAGTTGATTGATGCTGGTTTTGTTTGGACTGAGCCTCACTCTAGAAGAATAAAGGTTAAACTAACAGTCTAGAAGGAGGTAATGAACAGAACAGTATTATAGCAGAGCTTCGTAGTAGAATTTACGATTTAAAATTAGTAATGTGATGAATGCAAAAAGACATACACACCACATCTCTGGAATTCCGCTGTACAGGTCAGATAAAGAGTGGATCACAAAAGAACATTCTTATTTTTAGAGTAGCTCATAATCAAGCACAAAGCAGCAGATAGAGCTATTGGTATCAAAGAGGTGCATGACGGATTAGATTTCTAGTTTAAAAATAAAGCTGATGCGAATAAGTTGGTTGATTTCATAGCTAATACTGTCCCAACTAAAGTAAAGCAGAGCTAGTAGCTGATATCTCATGATCTCAGAAACAACACTTACAATTACAAATATACTTTCTCACTAGAAATAGCTCCAATATGCAAAGATGATCTAGTTATCTTACCAAAAACTCTATCAAATCTTCTTGGAGGTATTGGCCCAATGGTGTTGGTATATAAGATATCAACCTTTGTGAATATAGTGGATATTTATTCAATGCAAACATATGAAATAGACCAGATAACTTACTGGAAATATCAATTTACTGCTTTGTGTGGAAGAGATAGACTCACTGAGTTTGTAGTAATCAATGTAGATAATGCTGATCACGACGTCAATGTTAGCAGAGCAGCAGCAAAGTAAAGATTTAAGATGGTTTCAGTTGAAATTCAAAGAAAAGACGATTATGGGAAGAATGATCTAACATTTACAGTCAATACTCATCTTGGTGAAGTACTTAACTATTTCGATACTGTCTTGGGATTTGACTTGGACTAAATGAATATGACCGAGTTAGATGAGTTCTCACACTTAAAAAGAGAGATACCCCCTGTGATTCTTGTCAAGAAAACCTTTCCAAAATATAGGTAAAAGCAAAAGAATAGAGCTTGGAAGCTTAAGCATCTTGAAAAAGAGGCAATTGATGAGAATAATCATCATAAGAAAGATAAAGCTAATAATAAACATCAAAGAGATTACGATCTTTTTATGCAAGATATTGAAGAGGATGTGGAAATGAGATAGCATGTTGATTTGTTTAAAAATGATGAGGTAATTGAAAAGTCAAAGAAAAAGGACAAGAAGCTCGTTGCAGACGATGAAGAAAATAAGGATCAGAAAGGAAACAAAAAGAAGAGTAAAATGCAAGTAAAGGCTGACGTAAACTCAGAAGATGATGATGATCAGAGTATCGAAGAAGATTTCCCTCATATTAAGGTTCATGAACTTAAGTCTATCGAGGAATAACTTGCTTAGATTAATATTAATGATGAGTAGGTCGATCCAGTTGAAGAGCAAGAATTAGAATCTAAGATATGATTTATTAATTAATCTTATTCACATTGAAATAGATAAATAGGCATAATGGGGTTTTGGGGTTTTGGGGTTTTGGGGTTTTGGGGTTTTGGGG